CAGAACTGTGTGATCTCACAGGCGTACAGTGTATTGACAGCTCGGTTTCAAATTCCATCTTGGGTGCAAAGCAGCCAACTAGAACGGGACAGATATGGTCTAGTGAGCCAAAATCCCATCTAGATTTGGTGACACTTGTTCCCCAAGTTCACCATGGTAGGTGTTTGTGTCTGTATTGGTTTGGAACACAGAGCTCAAAATGTGGAAAGACACTGGACAAATCTGCAGGAAAGTTTATTTGTTGAATACTTTTGTCGTGTATTATTTAGGCCTTACTGCTATTTACATTCTGCTCTTCGTTTATGTATCTGCATTGTGGAAAGCAGCCATCAAAAAAACATTTGAGCAAAGAGGAGAAGGAATAATGTGACAAAATCATAAACATGCAGCTCACAATCCTGCCCTGCCTTCTGCACACAACATCCAATTTTATCTTCGTTAATGTAACAGCAGCATCACCTTCTTCAAACTGTTGACGTTGGATATGTCAAAGTATTTGTTTATACAAAAAAAAGACTGGAAGTGGAACAGAGGGGTGTACAAGCTATGAAAGCTAAAAGCACCAGGATTTCCTTTCAGCTGTCATTTGCACCTATAGGACAGTTCTGCCTTTTTATTGATTTCTGTTCTATTTCTTTTTCTGCAACCTTTAGTGGCCAACAGTGGTGTTCTACGTTCTTCAACGAGTTCAGTCAATTTGTAACCTCAACAGAAACTTCAAATTGAAATTGACTTACTTCAGAGTTGCACAGCTTCCTATTCCAGCAAGTAAATGTCATTGATATCAAGTTATCCATCATTATGCCAATAAAGCATCCACTCTTGTACCAAACTTTTTCTTTGGCATTGTTTCAAACACTGCTATTTTCAATCCTGGGCAACGCGATCAACACTGCTGAAATTAGCTGTTTACTTTGGCATTTGTCAACTAATTGAAGCGTGCCTTGAAACTGACCCCAAGTCAAGCCTTCCCCTAGGGTCGTGTGTGTTTCCCATTTACATTCGGGTCTCTTAGTATTTGGTCTCTAATCTTATTTATCCTATTATTTGGCTTGACGTTATTTATATTAATTAAACCTATGATCGTTTCCCCTTCATGTGAAGCGTCTTGTGAATTCACTGTGTTTTAGAATGTGCTATATGAAATACATTCATTCATTATTGTTAAACAGTGAAACAGTGACAGGATCATCGCCTGAGAAGATAAACAGAGATTTATAAAAACATCTTCCTCATGAATTTTTTTTAATAATACCCCCATGCAACACTTACCATAAGCTGTGTACACTGCACAATGTGGTTTTCTTTGCAGGCATGTGTTAAACTGATCACGGCTTGGAATAAAGATCATCACAGTGTTGCGTCTCCGCGGAGTGGAAACAATGTGTGACAGTCGAGGAATGCATTGCTAAGTGCATTGCTAAAAGATTACAGCATTTTTGTTAAGTGGAGGAACAAAAGAGTCTTAAATAATCAAAAAATGGAAATCTTGTGTATTTCATCTTATGTTTTTTAAGAGAGCTTTTTCTCGGTGGCCAGAAGGGTTGTGCATACTCTGGAGACAATGGGTTGGTGTTGAGCTGTTGATGGTGCACCTCATTACTGTGGCCTGGCTCCTCTCTAAGGACTGATTAAGGACTAAGCACATTTGAGAGTACCAACACGTACATACTGCATCCTCCTTGTTTCATTAGCCAAGCACAGCTCCTTCATCTATACCTTACTGTATATGCATGCAGAACACCAGTGGGAATGTCAGTGCCTGCATTGTATAGTAGGATCCATACAAAAAAAGTCTCACATTCTGAGTCTATTCTTCACCCATCCACCCCCGGTGAAACAACAGCCATTTCATGTGTCTTTTTCTCAGAAGTTGAGTGATAGAAAGAGAGAGACTCAATTGTGTCATGCAACCTTTTGCTTTATTTAATTCTCTACATTTAAATTTGAAAAAACGTTTTAACCACATTTTTTATGTTTCCCATAATTTGATGTAAGAGTTTGTTAAACATCTCAATTGTATTATTTTTTCTATTTCCAGTTTTAGTTCTGTTTAGACACAAGTATTTTTTAGGCACTGTGTGTTCAGTTTCCAGAAGCCTCTTAGTGGAAGGGGCTCCGGAGGATAATGACGTTTGGACCAAAAGATGATCCGAAAAGTTATTAAAGATTGTTTTGTAGTTGGTTACAGAGAAGTGATTCGACACATAAATCCTGTCTATACGGGTTTTAGTTGTTTTGTCATATCTCGTGAAATCCATTCCAGTGGGATTCAGTGAGCGACAGACATCGATCAGGCCTGCATCGCTGCAGATTTCTTTCAACAGCTTTCCTTCCGCCCTCAGTTTAAAAACAGCTGTACTACACTTATCTATGTCTTCTGTTACTGTATTAAGATCATCACCTAATATAATTTTATAACCCACTGTTAATAACTCTCGAAGTTTTCTGAATAATTGTAACTTTTTTTTTGCCTCAGGGGCAGTATAAATATTAATAAGTCGATATTTTTCATTTTTATAAAAACAATCCACCATAAGCATCCTTCCTGGGATTATGTCCCTTCTTCTAATAATAGTGATGTCTTTTTCTTTGAAGAAAATGCCAGAAAATGCCAACTCCGTGTCATGCAACTGCTGTCCAGACTTGTTTTATTCTTCTATTCTTTACCTCTGATAATGACATCGTATCCTCTCAGACATAGAGCAGCAGAAGAGAGATAATACAGAGAGTATATGGCAGTCAAATTGCTCTATTCGTACGATTCAGTAAGGAGTCACAAACTGGGTGATTTTCTTTCCCAAGGATTTGTAAAACTGCTGCCTTTCCAAACAACTTTAGCATTTTGCTGCCCAGGAATGCAAACGGTTAGAACATAATATGCATTATGACCAGCTTAGTTTCATTGTTCATACAGTAACCTCAATCACATCCATTGTTTGTTTATTTTTTAAACGTTTTTTAACTGTCTCATCTTCTGACGAATAGACATTGACGGAGCCCTCAAGACCCTTTAAACCCAACGTAGTGAAATTACAGGAAAATAAAACAATTTTGAGTATAGACACAGCTTAGGCAGTGATTTGATTGTTTTTAAAGTGTATGTATAAGCTTGGCATATTTATATTTAAATAATTTATCACATTCATCCTTGCAGATAGCTTTGTGAGGTTTGCTGGTATTGTCTGTGAAGAGCCTCAGCAAAGGTTTCTGCTCTCCCCAGATTTCCGGTTTGTTTTAAGTCTTCATGTTATGTCACTTATTGAACTATTAACTCTTGTCCTAAACCCATCCTGGTGTGTGTACTGTACATTTTCTCAAGCAAAGGTTTGCCAGCACCCACACAATGTTGCTACCAAAATCTGCTTTATCTGGCTCAAATAATCATTCTCTCTATTTTCAAATGTCTCTCTCTGATAGTAAAAAGCACACCTGCCTGGTGCTGCTTCACTTTGAGGTAAAGATTGTGTTTGATGCATGAATGGTAAAGCATGGTTTGTGTCTGATAGTGCTGGGCATTACGGCTGATATTATAATTTAATCATCAATCTTTCCTTTATGTAATTCATGCCCTTTTTACATGAAGAGAACACTCCACATATGTGAGGCTAACCGTTTATTTTTAATGAGAGGGTTTTCAGATGTGTGAGGTCATTACTGATTACTGCCTTTCAAAAGTTGAAGCCAAATAAATACTGTTTTACATTTTCTATCTTTCTATATATTGACTACTGTACATTTTCGTTCTGATTCATACCCTTAGTTATTTGTTTACTATATATATACCGTTCACTCTTTATTTGGTCTAATAGGTGTATAAGTTCAATAGTTGTAATCATCCTTGGAGAAACCACTCAACTTTAGGCTTTTTAAAAGACTTAAATGGGATTTTGAAACTCTCAATGCAATTCATCTCTGATGAGTCCTTTCTCGGAACACGCACACTAGTTCACCAGAAGCATTTCACAATGTTTCTTTTTAAATGTTATATTGAAACATTAAAAGCTCATGATGTACAAACATGAGAGAGTTTAAGGCTCTGCAAAACATAATAGTGTCAACAAAAACACATCAAGTGTGACTCACCCATATTGGTACCTGGCTTTGCATACGATGATGTGTTGAAATACTTTTTATTGGAAACTACATTTGAAAGTAATCTAGGTGAGGCCTGTCCTGAGTAAATCTCCAAAAAAATGCTTGCTGTTGAGATTGTTTTCATTGTTTCCAGATGGCAGCTGAAGTCTCAGTGGTGGAGATCTCACAGCCTCAGCATATACAATTAACAACAAGTAACAACATACAGTATACATTTGTATTACATTCGGGGTTAACTACTTGTTTACACTAAGCTTGCTGTAAGCACTGGAGTCCACTAGCTGTGATTCTAATATTCAAAGATTTCTTCTAAAGGCTGGGTGATGAGTGTAGTATGAAGGATTGAGAACCAAGAGAAGATTATCACTACATGATGTTTTGGCATCACAGATCTCATTTGCTTTGATTTAAGCTTTGCTCTGGTAACTTCACTGTACACTAAACTGTTACTGATCAGCACCAACAAGAAGACATACACAGCAAGCAAGTCACTGGCAAATATAGTGGAGCTATTAGCACTTAAAGATGTATTTCTTTCAGGAGTAATACAGAGCTAAAAGAAGAGTGAACTTTGTCACTTACGGTGGCCAGAAACATGACTCTAAATGGACACTGATGATGCTTTGTGTGTACGCAGTCTGTGATGCCAAGTCAATGTGTCTACAATCTGCTGTGCTCACCCCCCTCCCCCCCAGGTTTCTTTCTGTATCACATGATAGCAGCGTACCGACAAATGTTCTTCTTTATCATTTGTCTGTCCCTCTTTGATAGCTTCAGTGATGAGAGTCCCAAAATCACTGGAAAGTTGTGATCAAAGACTCAGCTCAGCCTTTGAAAAAGCAAATCCTGTGGCAGTGATGTGTGTATTAAAAGAAAGCCCTCCATGTCTCTGTCTCCCTCAGGTGAGCACCTGCGTGTCTGTCCTCAGGGATACACCTGCTGCACATCTGAGATGGAGGACAAACTCCACCAGCAGAGCAAACTGGAGTTTGAGAACTTGGTCAAGAACAGCAGCCACAACATGAGGACGACGTTTGTCTCCAGGCATAAAAAGTTTGATGGTGAGTGAAATGTTTCTCTTCGACATGTAAGAATTACATTTTTATCCCGGGCACTGTTACTTTAAATAAATGTATTCAAGACAAGCACTATCAATCTTGTTATATCTGATTACCTTTTCTATATTTAAAAATAACTTAAAACAACAAGTAAATATACAGCAGAGCATTCCTTTTTATAATAGATTTTAGTCCTCTTCTTCTTAACTTCTTTGATACATTTTGGGGATAGTTTTCTTTCTCTTGTCATACCAGCTCTTTTCTTAAATCCTATGGATCTGTCTAACTAGCTATCTATATTTTTATTTTATTAGAACCTCACAGAAATAATGCTTTTCTTGAGTGACTGATGGGAGCATTGCTCAGTATATTTGTGCGTTGTACTTGGCGTCCCCAAAGAGCTACTGTGAATTAGCTCTCATACCGACAGAACAAGAGTCCTGCTAATGTGGCTTTGTGGGGAATGAATGTTTTTTGCACTCTGTATGCTTTAATGCAAACCTGTATGTAAGCCTTAAGTCAGGGGTTCCCAACCTTTTTTCCCAAGAGCCCACCCAAATGACTCCTGTTGGAAGTTATGCCCCCCCCCCACACACACACACACACACA